ATACTTAAAATGCTTTAGATGATGATATGATGCAGTATGATAAGAAAAGTTATTGTATATGCACAAGAACATAGAAAACAGAGCTGCTAAATATTATTTACAATATTTCAAGGCATTTTTATTGCTTTTCTAACTGTTATTCAATAACATTTAACAAAATTGGTTATTTAAAAATTTTTTTCTCTAAAAATATTTTAAAACTTGATTTCAAAATCATGATGCATCTTAGAATCAAGGAAATACAGTAATAATTATTTATTCAGATTACATTTGTATAGTTAAAACTCGATCATCATAGTTTCATTCAATAAATTAAAATATTATATTTGTACAATAGTACAATACAATACAAACAATAGTAAAACAAAGCTTTATTAATTATCTTTAAGTTTTACTATTAATAAACATTTGACTGAGAATAGTTGAGAATGTAATAAGAATCAAATTTGTAAATGATATATTTTTACATATTTGTATTAAGTAAAACTAAATAACTATTTAAACTAAATAAAACTGTAAAAAAATATAAATACAGTATATCAGTGATTCAACATATATGGGATGGGTATGGTGTCAGATTTAGGAGATTGTTGGAGCATTGAAAGTAAGGGAATTCAATGGTTTAGACATTAGGAAAGAAAATTGTTTATTTGCATGTTATCAGTACAGTGTATTAGTTGAAAACATTTACAGATCATATCTTATTGTATTTTAGAGTTAGCAAATTAATCATCAATCCTTTTAAAATAATTTATAATTGTCTTTTGCCATTTTGTCATCTGAGTGCATTGCTATCACCAGATTAGTGTTGTAAAGTTAGATTTCCACTGAATTTAGTGGGAACAGAAGTTTGAACTAGTGAGAATTAGCAGCAGTGTTGCTAATATCCAAGAGTCAACTAGTGTTGATTACTAGATGTGTCAAAGTAATGAATATATGGATTACCTATACTATTTTGTAAATTATTTTTACCTTCATTATTCAAGAATTAGGGATTTTAAAGTTGATGCATTTCTTTTAAATTTCAATTTAACTGACGTGTTCTATATTTTAGTGTCTAAAACCCATGGATTATCTGTGTTTAAAGATGATTTGAAAGGGATATTGCTTATACACTAATTTTAAAATTCAATTATGAACTTTTACCTTGTCCATAGGTGCAAATTCATAATCTGCCCACCTCACTTTTTCATCTTGACATAAGCTACCCACTATATTCTGCTTATTGAACAGGAGTACATGGTGGGTGGATTATGTAAAGGCTTTATTTTCATTCTAGCAATTTTCTGTGGGGTATATGCATGAAAATACAATACCTTAATTTAAAATGTATATACAAATGATGTGAATATATTTTTTATATTTATAAGATGTCTTTTGATTATCATAGTTATATGAATCATATTAGTTAAAATGTTAAGTTTAAAGATAATTCTAGATATTTACAGACAATTGATATTATATTTTATTAATATGTTTATTTACTGAAAATGTTTTAATAAAAAAAAAAATTCCTATTGTACTTCTTTAACTAATAAATTATGTCAAAAGATATTTCATTAACTGACTGTGTTTTGATCTCTTCTATTGAGTATAGTTTGACTGGATTTATTAAAATAAATGAGCTAAACTTTTCTAGATTAATCAATATAAATTGTCTTAAGTTTATAGTATATTTGCAATTTTTACTTTCTTGTGTAATGATTAAGGTTGTCTATACTTTTCTCAGTAAAATATTTTCAATTATACACAGTAATTATAAACTATATTAGTTTCAAAAGGTGGACAATATGACTGATACAACTGCCTCTGATACTAAAATTTAATTTTCTATTAATTAAAGTTCTTTATTAACTTTTGTCATTCAAATAGATACGAAAGTTGGTCTCGGTCATCAGTATAATTTTTATTATTACTGTATAAGTAAACTTTTGTATAATTATATATATTAAATCATTTAATTAATATTTCCATAACTCTTACAAATATGAATCTATATTATTTACTATTGCTAGAAATATGAAATACACAATTTATTGTAGCAAATGTAATTTTCATATACAACAACATTGATACATATCAATTATCAGATGATAATTTATATAATTACTGTACATTCTATGACTTAGAAATTATATACTTTATGTGTCTCTTCCTAATTAATATATTAATGTCCTCAATTTGATTTTTAACCTTCCTCGATTCTTTTTCTTGATCTGAAACTGAATATAACAGTGACTTTTTTTTCCTTATTCAATCAGAAGGACATTGTCTATCAATATCTATTTTTATGTATCTATTTATAACTCCTTCAATGATTAATAACTAAAAAGTTTCAAAGATTATTTTATTTAAAAAAAGTTTAAACTGATTATAACTATCATTTAAGGAATATGGATAATCATTAAAATTATTTTTGGCTATTGATTTTTTACATCAAGTGAATGAAAAAGTATTATTAATTTAGAGATTTAAGTATTATTAACTTTTATATAGATAACTTATTTTTAGCAAGATATAATTTTAAAAAAGTATGTAGTTTGTCATATTTTAAAAAGTAAATGTGAATAAAAGATTTATTTAGTTATTCTTATTACATTCAGTATAAAAATGAGAGAGGAGAAAAGTAAACATTCCTATCTTGTTACAAAAATGACAATTTTAAACACATGGAATATGATATGATAAACAGCATGTATAAGCATTATACAACTTTCATTAATGCATAAAAAGAATCTTAATCTATGCAGAAGCTGTTTGGATATATTGGCCTTATAATGGTTTATTCCAAAATGTTTGATTTGAAAATTAATTTCCTTTTTAAGTATCAAATTAATAAATTTTTGAATATAAATTGTTAAAACATTAATAATTAGAAAGATGTGTTGTTTATGGCTTATGAACCAAATCAATTCTCTCCTAAAAGAAAAAAATTAATAGAGGAAGTACACAAATATTTTAAACATTTTAAATTATTTTTTAAGTAAAATAAAAATGTTTTTATTGTATAAAAAATATATATAAATTTTAAACTACAACTTTGCGTTATTAAAGGATAAAAAGTAAACGAATGATAGCTGTATGTAAAAACGTTGATACGATTTAGAATAAAACTCTTTGGTGTTTTGAAGTTTATGATTAATAATTAAATTTTTTCACTAAAGTACCTACTTTTGAACATGTTTTGATATCGATAATTTAGTTTTAAATAATTCATTCTAAATATAAAATTGATTTTAAGAACGCTTTCAACTTCGTACGAACTTTTCAGATTTAGCATCGGAGAATTGAAAATGTAATTTAAGAAAAAAAAAATTTTTTTAAAAAGATCCGATTACATTTTCGAATTTTTTTTTATTTTTTATTTGATCTACAAATATAATTTTATATGCTGTATTAAAATTTTCAAATCGAGTAGGTAGAAAATGTCTTAAAACTTCTGTAAGATATCCGATATCGAATTGAGTTTAAAATCTATTTTCTGTTTCATTTTCATCCTCTCTTATGTTCAAAATAACTTGTAAATTACATAAAGGATAGAGATATCAAATGAAAATTACTCTTTGGTATAAGCTATGAATTCATCTATTCTCCTATGCTTTTTTTCTTACACGTTACTTTCTCCAAATTTTAGCATTTTGCAGTATAAAATAAAGTTTTCTTGTTTAGTTTTTTTCTTGAATTTTACGTAGCATTAACCAGGTAACGAAGCGTAAGAGTTATGGTTTAGTAAACGCATTGATCGTACTGATAAAATCTATTATTTTCGAATATTTTAAGGAATTACCATTGGTGGGATAAACCCTTTTCGGTTCATTTCACTCATTTTTTTTCTCTCTTTTTTACCTCTTAAAGTCAAAACACGAAACCAAGCGAATTCTGTAAGGCTAAGTAAATTTTTTTTCTCACCCTTCGAAATTCTTTAGAGGGAAAAATTACTATAATTTTAACATTTTTACACGAAGGGGATAACATAAACATTAATTTTCGTCATTTTGACGTTTATCGTAGATCCACACTATTATTAGTTACAAAATCTGTGATTTAAGCTAACCTTTAAAGTAATACGTTTTTTTTTTTTTGTTTTGTTTTATATCGGACCATTTTTCTACAGCAAAATTTAAAATTTGAATTCTATTTACGTCATTTCTTAAACTTACGCAGCAAAATGCCATCTACTGGTGTTAAACGAAAACTAGTCACGCTGATACATCCACTTTTGAATTAATCAATCGGAAATTGATATAAATGTTTGTTAAATCCCAGAGGCTTTTCGATCGGTCGATCAATCAAAATTGATATAATTTAAAAATGAAATTTTCTTTCCTTCTTCCCGACGCTCGCTTTTGTTACCAATGTCAAATAAACCGATCGATTTTTCGTGCTTAATGTATTTTTTATTATAAGTATATAAAATTCGTGAAATATTTTATTGGATGCATCACATCGTAAACATTAAATTAATTCTTTGGCGCGTCGTCAAATTGTCGGCATCTGTGTGTGAAGGTTTAAACACTGTCGTCACGCTTTAATAGGATTGAATATCGTAAATTAACTGCAATTTTTTTGTTCAAATGTATTGTTTTAAGTTCCTGCTCTTCACTTTTGTTTTTTTAATGCGCGATGAGAGTTTTCATGCGTAATGATTTTAAAATTAGATACTCTAGAGGTAAACTAATCGTACTCCTACGCTTTACACTCTTAATCTAAACATAGTGAAAGAGAATTTATTGTGATTATTACTTTATCACTTGAGGATGTGAATCTAACATCCTACGCACACAGCATACGTAGAGGAAGGAAGTTCTGTTAATGTGTATTTAATGCTTAAATCTTGGATATTATTAAGCGTATTATCTTTATTGCTATTTATATAAATAAGTTTAGTATATATTTAAACATCTTGCCAAACTATTAAAAGAAAGATTAATTTGTTTAAATGTTAGATAATTTAAGTTCTAATAAAAATATATATTTTTATTTTCTTTTTTTAATATTAGGTAATCATAGCGATAGAGTGTTTGTAGTGGATATGGATCATTCGCATCCATACAGCATGAACAGCTTAGACAGACAAGTATTATCACTACCAAATTACGATTGCTCTCTTCGGATGTTCGCACTGTCGCACGACACCAACGTTGCGACGAGTAGCAACGCGGCCGACGATGGTAAATTGGACCGCTTAACGGTGCGTGCCATGCCGGATCCAGTTGGTCTACATAGGGCCAACAATTCGTACAATACAGAGAGGCTAGACGCGCAATGCAACGCGAGCAAACTCCGTCAGACGGCGCATAAGTTCTTACAACTGTCGACGGATCGACCTCCCTCCAACAGGCAATCGGCCACCTCCGACGTCCTCAAGTACAAGCTCAGTCCGAAGGTGTACGGTTTGGCTGCACCCACAGGTTGCAGACGAGAGACCATGACCGAATTGGTAAAAAACTTCTCCAATAAAGATGAAGATGGAGGGAGTCAAGATGTTCATCCTCCCATTCAGGACGACGATTCCGAGTCTGATGCCGGATATAAGGTAAGAGATTTTTCATTCCTATCTTCTCTCTCTCGCGATAACACCTGTTGCTTCGCTCTGCAGGTGATTCTCGAACCATAAATCTGTGCGGCATTTCCATCGCCGCTTTAAAATTTAAAGATGCTATTTGAATAACGTTCGTTAATCGAAAGAATATAAAGACTTAACGTAATAAACGAAAAAAAAAAAAAAAANTTTTATCCAATTAATTTATGTAAATTAATTATTATTCTTTATAAGATTATATTTTATTAAATTTGTTAATTCTATCTTATTAAATAGATATAACATAATTGTTATTTTTAAAAAAAATCATGTGAAATGTTCTTCAAATATAATCATTATCAAATAATATATATGAAAAATTATTCTCAAATCAATTAATAAAATCCTCATTCATTTCCTAAATTATCCAAATTATTTCTATTTAAATTTTATGTAATACAAATGTTTTAAAGTTATGATAAAGTTCTAGAAGTAATTTAAAATTTCTGAACAAATTATATTAATGTTTATTACATGTTCTTATGTATTATTTGACTAGTACATATTTCCATTTATTCAATAAATCTTCATTTTCAATTTGTTAAAAAAAAAGAATGGAGAAATTTGATTAATATATCAAAATGAATAGTAAGTTGCTTTTGAGAAATAAAGTTGAATTTTATGTAATTAATGAAATTAGATTATATTTTGATTTATCCTATTAAAAATGCTTTTAAAGTTTTAAATTTTTATTCAAACTTGCTTTAAAAAATCTTGTATTTAGGTATAACTTTTATCTTTAATTTTTCATTTCTTTATTTTAATATACTGTGCTTTCTCAATTCTAATATGCTGTTTTTTACTCATTTCTACTTGTCAAAAATAAGAGGTGTATCTTACAATTACAAAAATGGCATCTTTTTTGTATTCAGTCCAAAACAATAATTAGCACTCATTGTGAATATATCACAAGATTCATTATGCATTAATAATAAGTATTTTTGGATAAACTGCTAATACTGAATTATCAAATCAATTCAATTGAGGTTTGTTGGTAACAAGCATTTAATTTAAACTTTCCAATACTTAAAATGCTTTAGATGATGATATGATGCAGTATGATAAGAAAAGTTATTGTATATGCACAAGAACATAGAAAACAGAGCTGCTAAATATTATTTACAATATTTCAAGGCATTTTTATTGCTTTTCTAACTGTTATTCAATAACATTTAACAAAATTGGTTATTTAAAAATTTTTTTCTCTAAAAATATTTTAAAACTTGATTTCAAAATCATGATGCATCTTAGAATCAAGGAAATACAGTAATAATTATTTATTCAGATTACATTTGTATAGTTAAAACTCGATCATCATAGTTTCATTCAATAAATTAAAATATTATATTTGTACAATAGTACAATACAATACAAACAATAGTAAAACAAAGCTTTATTAATTATCTTTAAGTTTTACTATTAATAAACATTTGACTGAGAATAGTTGAGAATGTAATAAGAATCAAATTTGTAAATGATATATTTTTACATATTTGTATTAAGTAAAACTAAATAACTATTTAAACTAAATAAAACTGTAAAAAAATATAAATACAGTATATCAGTGATTCAACATATATGGGATGGGTATGGTGTCAGATTTAGGAGATTGTTGGAGCATTGAAAGTAAGGGAATTCAATGGTTTAGACATTAAGAAAGAAAATTGTTTATTTGCATGTTATCAGTACAGTGTATTAGTTGAAAACATTTACAGATCATATCTTATTGTATTTTAGAGTTAGCAAATTAATCATCAATCCTTTTAAAATAATTTATAATTGTCTTTTGCCATTTTGTCATCTGAGTGCATTGCTATCACCAGATTAGTGTTGTAAAGTTAGATTTCCACTGAATTTAGTGGGAACAGAAGTTTGAACTAGTGAGAATTAGCAGCAGTGTTGCTAATATCCAAGAGTCAACTAGTGTTGATTACTAGATGTGTCAAAGTAATGAATATATGGATTACCTATACTATTTTGTAAATTATTTTTACCTTCATTATTCAAGAATTAGGGATTTTAAAGTTGATGCATTTCTTTTAAATTTCAATTTAACTGACGTGTTCTATATTTTAGTGTCTAAAACCCATGGATTATCTGTGTTTAAAGACGATTTGAAAGGGATATTGCTTATACACTAATTTTAAAATTCAATTATGAACTTTTACCTTGTCCATAGGTGCAAATTCATAATCTGCCCACCTCACTTTTTCATCTTGACATAAGCTACCCACTATATTCTGCTTATTGAACAGGAGTACATGGTGGGTGGATTATGTAAAGGCTTTATTTTCATTCTAGCAATTTTCTGTGGGGTATATGCATGAAAATACAATACCTTAATTTAAAATGTATATACAAATGATGTGAATATATTTTTTATATTTATAAGATGTCTTTTGATTATCATAGTTATATGAATTATATTAGTTAAAATGTTAAGTTTAAAGATAATTCTAGATATTTACAGACAATTGATATTATATTTTATTAATATGTTTATTTACTGAAAATGTTTTAATAAAAAAAAAAATTCCTATTGTACTTCTTTAACTAATAAATTATGTCAAAAGATATTTCATTAACTGACTGTGTTTTGATCTCTTCTATTGAGTATAGTTTGACTGGATTTATTAAAATAAATGAGCTAAACTTTTCTAGATTAATCAATATAAATTGTCTTAAGTTTATAGTATATTTGCAATTTTTACTTTCTTGTGTAATGATTAAGGTTGTCTATACTTTTCTCAGTAAAATATTTTCAATTATACACAGTAATTATAAACTATATTAGTTTCAAAAGGTGGACAATATGACTGATACAACTGCCTCTGATACTAAAATTTAATTTTCTATTAATTAAAGTTCTTTATTAACTTTTGTCATTCAAATAGATACGAAAGTTGGTCTCGGTCATCAGTATAATTTTTATTATTACTGTATAAGTAAACTTTTGTATAATTATATATATTAAATCATTTAATTAATATTTCCATAACTCTTACAAATATGAATCTATATTATTTACTATTGCTAGAAATATGAAATACACAATTTATTGTAGCAAATGTAATTTTCATATACTACAACATTGATACATATCAATTATCAGATGATAATTTATATAATTACTGTACATTCTATGACTTAGAAATTATATACTTTATGTGTCTCTTCCTAATTAATATATTAATGTCCTCAATTTGATTTTTAACCTTCCTCGATTCTTTTTCTTGATCTGAAACTGAATATAACAGTGACTTTTTTTTCCTTATTCAATCAGAAGGACATTGTCTATCAATATCTATTTTTATGTATCTATTTATAACTCCTTCAATGATTAATAACTAAAAAGTTTCAAAGATTATTTTATTTAAAAAAAGTTTAAACTGATTATAACTATCATTTAAGGAATATGGATAATCATTAAAATTATTTTTGGCTATTGATTTTTTACATCAAGTGAATGAAAAAGTATTATTAATTTAGAGATTTAAGTATTATTAACTTTTATATAGATAACTTATTTTTAGCAAGATATAATTTTAAAAAAGTATGTAGTTTGTCATATTTTAAAAAGTAAATGTGAATAAAAGATTTATTTAGTTATTCTTATTACATTCAGTATAAAAATGAGAGAGGAGAAAAGTAAACATTCCTATCTTGTTACAAAAATGACAATTTTAAACACATGGAATATGATATGATAAACAGCATGTATAAGCATTATACAACTTTCATTAATGCATAAAAAGAATCTTAATCTATGCAGAAGCTGTTTGGATATATTGGCCTTATAATGGTTTATTCCAAAATGTTTGATTTGAAAATTAATTTCCTTTTTAAGTATCAAATTAATAAATTTTTGAATATAAATTGTTAAAACATTAATAATTAGAAAGATGTGTTGTTTATGGCTTATGAACCAAATCAATTCTCTCCTAAAAGAAAAAAATTAATAGAGGAAGTACACAAATATTTTAAACATTTTAAATTATTTTTTAAGTAAAATAAAAATGTTTTTATTGTATAAAAAATATATATAAATTTTAAACTACAACTTTGCGTTATTAAAGGATAAAAAGTAAACGAATGATAGCTGTATGTAAAAACGTTGATACGATTTAGAATAAAACTCTTTGGTGTTTTGAAGTTTATGATTAATAATTAAATTTTTTCACTAAAGTACCTACTTTTGAACATGTTTTGATATCGATAATTTAGTTTTAAATAATTCATTCTAAATATAAAATTGATTTTAAGAACGCTTTCAACTTCGTACGAACTTTTCAGATTTAGCATCGGAGAATTGAAAATGTAATTTAAGAAAAAAAAAATTTTTTTAAAAAGATCCGATTACATTTTCGAATTTTTTTTTATTTTTTATTTGATCTACAAATATAATTTTATATGCTGTATTAAAATTTTCAAATCGAGTAGGTAGAAAATGTCTTAAAACTTCTGTAAGATATCCGATATCGAATTGAGTTTAAAATCTATTTTCTGTTTCATTTTCATCCTCTCTTATGTTCAAAATAACTTGTAAATTACATAAAGGATAGAGATATCAAATGAAAATTACTCTTTGGTATAAGCTATGAATTCATCTATTCTCCTATGCTTTTTTTCTTACACGTTACTTTCTCCAAATTTTAGCATTTTGCAGTATAAAATAAAGTTTTCTTGTTTAGTTTTTTTCTTGAATTTTACGTAGCATTAACCAGGTAACGAAGCGTAAGAGTTATGGTTTAGTAAACGCATTGATCGTACTGATAAAATCTATTATTTTCGAATATTTTAAGGAATTACCATTGGTGGGATAAACCCTTTTCGGTTCATTTCACTCATTTTTTTTCTCTCTTTTTTACCTCTTAAAGTCAAAACACGAAACCAAGCGAATTCTGTAAGGCTAAGTAAATTTTTTTTCTCACCCTTCGAAATTCTTTAGAGGGAAAAATTACTATAATTTTAACATTTTTACACGAAGGGGATAACATAAACATTAATTTTCGTCATTTTGACGTTTATCGTAGATCCACACTATTATTAGTTACAAAATCTGTGATTTAAGCTAACCTTTAAAGTAATACGTTTTTTTTTTTTTGTTTTGTTTTATATCGGACCATTTTTCTACAGCAAAATTTAAAATTTGAATTCTATTTACGTCATTTCTTAAACTTACGCAGCAAAATGCCATCTACTGGTGTTAAACGAAAACTAGTCACGCTGATACATCCACTTTTGAATTAATCAATCGGAAATTGATATAAATGTTTGTTAAATCCCAGAGGCTTTTCGATCGGTCGATCAATCAAAATTGATATAATTTAAAAATGAAATTTTCTTTCCTTCTTCCCGACGCTCGCTTTTGTTACCAATGTCAAATAAACCGATCGATTTTTCGTGCTTAATGTATTTTTTATTATAAGTATATAAAATTCGTGAAATATTTTATTGGATGCATCACATCGTAAACATTAAATTAATTCTTTGGCGCGTCGTCAAATTGTCGGCATCTGTGTGTGAAGGTTTAAACACTGTCGTCACGCTTTAATAGGATTGAATATCGTAAATTAACTGCAATTTTTTTGTTCAAATGTATTGTTTTAAGTTCCTGCTCTTCACTTTTGTTTTTTTAATGCGCGATGAGAGTTTTCATGCGTAATGATTTTAAAATTAGATACTCTAGAGGTAAACTAATCGTACTCCTACGCTTTACACTCTTAATCTAAACATAGTGAAAGAGAATTTATTGTGATTATTACTTTATCACTTGAGGATGTGAATCTAACATCCTACGCACACAGCATACGTAGAGGAAGGAAGTTCTGTTAATGTGTATTTAATGCTTAAATCTTGGATATTATTAAGCGTATTATCTTTATTGCTATTTATATAAATAAGTTTAGTATATATTTAAACATCTTGCCAAACTATTAAAAGAAAGATTAATTTGTTTAAATGTTAGATAATTTAAGTTCTAATAAAAATATATATTTTTATTTTCTTTTTTTAATATTAGGTAATCATAGCGATAGAGTGTTTGTAGTGGATATGGATCATTCGCATCCATACAGCATGAACAGCTTAGACAGACAAGTATTATCACTACCAAATTACGATTGCTCTCTTCGGATGTTCGCACTGTCGCACGACACCAACGTTGCGACGAGTAGCAACGCGGCCGACGATGGTAAATTGGACCGCTTAACGGTGCGTGCCATGCCGGATCCAGTTGGTCTACATAGGGCCAACAATTCGTACAATACAGAGAGGCTAGACGCGCAATGCAACGCGAGCAAACTCCGTCAGACGGCGCATAAGTTCTTACAACTGTCGACGGATCGACCTCCCTCCAACAGGCAATCGGCCACCTCCGACGTCCTCAAGTACAAGCTCAGTCCGAAGGTGTACGGTTTGGCTGCACCCACAGGTTGCAGACGAGAGACCATGACCGAATTGGTAAAAAACTTCTCCAATAAAGATGAAGATGGAGGGAGTCAAGATGTTCATCCTCCCATTCAGGACGACGATTCCGAGTCTGATGCCGGATATAAGGTAAGAGATTTTTCATTCCTATCTTCTCTCTCTCGCGATAACACCTGTTGCTTCGCTCTGCAGGTGATTCTCGAACCATAAATCTGTGCGGCATTTCCATCGCCGCTTTAAAATTTAAAGATGCTATTTGAATAACGTTCGTTAATCGAAAGAATATAAAGACTTAACGTAATAAACGAAAAAAAAAAACGAAATGGGATTTTAAAAATTTAACCTTTCTGAATCCTATTAAATTTCTAGAATAATGAATTTTCAATTAATATGTTTTGTAATCCTGAAAGTGTCTCTTTGCTGCTCGTCTTCGATGTGTAGAGGTAAAAATTCTTACAATGAACAACAGTTTAGTTTATTTTAATATTTTAAAATGAATTGTGTGAATAACACTCCTTAGAGCTGGGTGTGCCGTAGAATTTTATGTATTCAATAATAAACTAAAAAATAAGTTGCAAATGCGCTTAAAATTATATATATAATTAAATCTGCATTGCCTTCGGTTAATCTAGTTTTTTTAATTTATCGTCTATGAAATCGATCCTAATTTTTGATATTATATAAATTGTATTTTAGACGGAAACTGCAATAGAATTAATAAGAAAAAAAACGTTTAAACTGCAACTGCGTTAGAGTTTAGGTAGCAAGATGAAGCTTTTAGCTTCTATTTTTTCTCGGCGATTCCTTGTATTTTTTATTTGATCTACAAATATAATTTTATATGCTGTATTAAAATTTTCAAATCGAGTAGGTAGAAAATGTCTTAAAACTTCTGTAAGATATCCGATATCGAATTGAGTTTAAAATCTATTTTCTGTTTCATTTTCATCCTCTCTTATGTTCAAAATAACTTGTAAATTACATAAAGGATAGAGATATCAAATGAAAATTACTCTTTGGTATAAGCTATGAATTCATCTATTCTCCTATGCTTTTTTTCTTACACGTTACTTTCTCCAAATTTTAGCATTTTGCAGTATAAAATAAAGTTTTCTTGTTTAGTTTTTTTCTTGAATTTTACGTAGCATTAACCAGGTAACGAAGCGTAAGAGTTATGGTTTAGTAAACGCATTGATCGTACTGATAAAATCTATTATTTTCGAATATTTTAAGGAATTACCATTGGTGGGATAAACCCTTTTCGGTTCATTTCACTCATTTTTTTTCTCTCTTTTTTACCTCTTAAAGTCAAAACACGAAACCAAGCGAATTCTGTAAGGCTAAGTAAATTTTTTTTCTCACCCTTCGAAATTCTTTAGAGGGAAAAATTACTATAATTTTAACATTTTTACACGAAGGGGATAACATAAACATTAATTTTCGTCATTTTGACGTTTATCGTAGATCCACACTATTATTAGTTACAAAATCTGTGATTTAAGCTAACCTTTAAAGTAATACGTTTTTTTTTTTTTTGTTTTGTTTTATATCGGACCATTTTTCTACAGCAAAATTTAAAATTTGAATTCTATTTACGTCATTTCTTAAACTTACGCAGCAAAATGCCATCTACTGGTGTTAAACGAAAACTAGTCACGCTGATACATCCACTTTTGAATTAATCAATCGGAAATTGATATAAATGTTTGTTAAATCCCAGAGGCTTTTCGATCGGTCGATCAATCAAAATTGATATAATTTAAAAATGAAATTTTCTTTCCTTCTTCCCGACGCTCGCTTTTGTTACCAATGTCAAATAAACCGATCGATTTTTCGTGCTTAATGTATTTTTTATTATAAGTATATAAAATTCGTGAAATATTTTATTGGATGCATCACATCGTAAACATTAAATTAATTCTTTGGCGCGTCGTCAAATTGTCGGCATCTGTGTGTGAAGGTTTAAACACTGTCGTCACGCTTTAATAGGATTGAATATCGTAAATTAACTGCAATTTTTTTGTTCAAATGTATTGTTTTAAGTTCCTGCTCTTCACTTTTNGTAAACGGAGTTTTATCTTAGAACTGAAAATCGAAACCTATATTACAGTTTTTATTTTAGTTTTCTTTCGTTTTGCATCTGTAACTTTAAGCTTTAGCGACTTTAATATTGCGCGTAGTCACCTGAATAACTCCGGCATTGACGTCAAATAGGTTAGATTGCTATGGCAACTGGAGGAGGATCTGTATAAACAAGCTCAGGATCCGATAGGAACAGATATTAAAAAGAATAAAAAATATATATATGCATATATATATATAGGCCTATATTTATAATTCACTCAACCAGGACTTGAGGGCTTTGATTCGTACTATTATTTTAACGACAGCTTATGCCCTAAATTTAGTAAAAATTTTTTTCTATTGGAGAATGATAGGCGTCCCAAATGAGCAGACAAATTAAAAGACACCCACTCGTGACGTAAGGTCAATGTTCTGGCTGAGTCTTACACTTTTATCCAATCATCTGTCTAATTACGATTACCCGGATGGCTTCGCTTCCGTAGACGTAATGTGCACTTCCTCTAGCAATTTACTTTATTCTAGAGCTGTTCCAATATGGTGAGTTTTTGGTTATTTCTTATTAGTTTGTCCCTTTTTAAAGTAACTTTTTAGCATCAACTATAGCAGACGCGTAGTAGTTAACTGATTTATAGCTTGTGTGTGTTTATGCGAGTAAGCTTTTCTATAATTTAATTCTCTTGACGTTACTTGTAAATTTAACAGACAGGGATATCCGTACTGTAAACTTGATTCGAAAAACACAAATATATTATTTATTGCTAAAGAAGTGAAAAATCATCGATGTTTAGTCAGACGAGTCTTACTATAAAGAAAAGGAAGTGTTACAGTTAGTCATCTAGCAGTAAAGCTAGTAAGCTCTTTAAACTGATTATTCTAAGAATAGATTACAATCTCTACAGATTAAATTCTTCTCTTAAATAATTAAGCATTTAGATTTACTACGACTTTTAACGTATCATTCTCGACCTGCACTGCATTTATCAATCAAAACTTATCCGTTCAGTGTAATGTCAACTGAGTCACAGGTATACTAGCTACCCTGAAGTTAATACTATTGACAGGTGCTCGCCAGTGTTTCTGATCAGGAAACACGTGACAGGAGATTAAGTCACGGATTGATGACCGTCCGAGAGTCGCCCTTGTATCTTCCGACACCTACCATACTAAAGTAGGTGTAAAGCACATGGTCTGCGTAGGTTTTGATAGGAATAATGCCTCTTTCTGTGATTCCATTTTCCAGACCTTCTCTGGGCCCCTGGTTATCGATAATCTTCACGGATAACTTTATGGATTGGGTAAGAGTTCTCTATTTTTAAGTCATTTCATTCTTTACAGTTAACAGATGGCTTGTAGTGTTGTCATTAATGAGTTACACATGTTTGAAACTCATTTTGGTTTTATACTTTTAGAAGTCGCGACGGACAAAGATAGTCAGATAGAAGGTCATCGTTATCAGAAAAATAAAAAAAAGAAAAGGCTTCCTCTGCTGAATTACTTTAAACTTGAAGTTAAGGGGGCTCAGGTTGTGTCGCCTCCAGTTAAATTCTAATCTGCAACGAAAATTCCCATTATAGAAAAGAAACTGAAGGGGGGAAGAAGAAAATTTTTTATACCTCTTAAAGTGAATTTTCAAAAGCCGTTTTGATTGAAAAGAAGTTACAAAATCGGTTTATTCTTCTATTTTGTACAAACGCGTGAGGAATATAAAGTAATATTGAATTGCCTGATCTGAACAGAGTCAACTTTTGTAATATTAGGTATTTATAATCTGAAAGAAAAGTCGTAATAAAAGGAAGGACGATCGACAGACTCAACTCACTTAATTAAAATTATAAGTTGAGTCACATACGAAGACGACATAATCCATTTTTATTAAGGAAACTTCGTGGTCTCGCTCCTTTGTGGCTTTTAATTTGAGTTTCGAAATTGGAAGTATTCCGAGTTCTTCGGTGTGTAAAGTTGTTTAAGAGATCCATCCAGGTGTGAAAGGCCCCAACGCTTGGGAGAACCGGATGTTCCAACGGTTTTCCTCTCAATGATAACCTGTTGTTAAGCAGGCTGATCGAGATTTACAAACGCTTCTCGTAGATTTTTCCCCCTTTTAGATTCGTAGAATTGACTTAATAGTAACTTGAAAGATTTGGATTATATTTATCTTTCTATCTGCCCCCGATTATTTTATTTTAGACTGATTATTTTTACTTAAAGGACTTTATACTTATTCAACAGAATTACTTACTTTTTACTATAAGATGTCCTTTAACTATACTTTTTCTCTGCCAGAAGAAAAAAAAAAGATATAATATATATAATAAAAGTCCATTTCGATCGATTAAGTGAATAAAAGTTTTATTCAATAATTCAGTTTTTGATCAATTTTCTTTCTTTCTTCAAAAATTGATTATTTTTTTTTTTTTTAGGTCTTTGTTTTGACTCAGTTAAGATTTTTATTCTGTTAATTATTTCTGGGACGTTGTATATTGGAAAGATGTAGACCGACCTGGGTTAAGTAGTTTGACCAAGTTAATTGACCTATTCTTGCATAAGAAAGATTAATTGTTTTCGATCATTAAAACAAGAGTGCCGATTCCCCGAACAAAAACAAATTTGATTGAATTTAACGGGCGAACTTTATGATAATCGTATCATCATGGTCTGGGAATGTCGTGGAAATACAACCAAAAATATTAGGCGGAGTTGACTGTTTTAGGGAGGGATCTTTTGAAAGACATCGTGTTACGTCACTCTGTATGGATGATTATTTTGTTATAATTAGCCGAGAGGGACCTGTTTGAAAGGAGACACCTTTCACCTCTTATAATTTGTTTGTAGCGGAGACGTCAAAATCCATTCCTATCCTTTAGGAAGTTACTCGACTGGTTTACTGTAGATAGAACTTAAACATTATGTCGTATTATCTAACAGAAATGTAATCTTTTCGAATGGAATTTTTCTTATCTATTTTTTGATTTAGGGTGGGTACTTCGCAGATGGGGTATTTACTTACGTGTAGGTTTCGCATATTTATCTCGAGTCGAAGAATT